CAATCGAGCAAACTTATTATTCATCAGTATCAATTTACGGAATTCAGCCGGAGTGACTTTATTTACGTCGCGGGCGAGCACGCGCGGCCCGATGATCGACTTTGAACGCGAGTAATTCGATTTACCATGTCGTTAGTTCAGAATCCCGAGATCGCCCCCAATTTCCATCTCAAAGCGAACGAGGAGCGGTTCTCTCGCCCTGCTGCGGACACTTGCGTGTGTGTATGTGCGCCTAATACGTGCGTGCGGGCGCTCCGCAACTCGATGTAGAGCGGGCATCGCAAATTCTCGACACTTATTAGACGTACTCCTGGAGAACGGTGGTTCTTAACACTCGGGGTCTGCGAGTAAATTTCAGATTTTCGTTCGCGAACTCGGACGGGGAGAGAATTACACTTCCGTCAGCTTCAACGTGTCCACACAGAAAAAAGTGTCAAATTTAAATAAATAATTACTCCAATATTTGACCCAAGTAAAAATTTTCTAAGGAATATTGAAGTAATTATTTACTTGAATTTAGCACTTTTTTTCTATGTACATTTTTCAAGTATCATCTTGTCACTCAATATATTAGTGAGAAAGTCTTGTATTATTACATCTGCTACACCAAGGCAAATATTCGATCATATCTGATCGGATAATCCAATTAAAAAGTAACGAACAGATATATCCGACCACGTACAGTGTCCGATCATCTTATCATTTCATCCGATCACGTCGCATCTTCATCCGATGAAGTTTCATCAGTAACTACATCGGTAACTCGAATATTTCATCGGATAAAGGTATTCATCACTTGATCGGACAAAAAATAACAATCTGATATATCACTTAATCAGTTTATCCGATGAAAATTTATGTCAGTGCACGTGATATAATACTTTATTGTCATCCCTGTCTGTGTAAAGCATCTCCACGATAAAAACCGAAATAGCGTGAATTAAATGTGATTCTTCCAGACGTGAAATCACTTCTCGGGGTGAGTCTCCCGTGTGGAAGGAATGAATGACTTTTACTCAAGCTTGGCTTTATCGACAACGACCTATTACCAGAATACACCTCGACATAACCGGAGATCCTACATTTGGCCGTATAAATAATCGACGAGTGGTGGCGACTATAGCAGGTCATACCGGGATCAATAGCGTGAAATTCGTTGACGATTCTCCGTACGAAAACGAAACCGGTGCGACGTGTCGTCATCCCCGTCTGCTGTGCGAGACGCGCAAGTGTACCGGTCGTGTGCACGTGACGAGGACATACGTGATGCCGCGTAACGAGTCGTCGGCGAATAAATCGACGCACTAGTTTTCAACGACAAACAGGGGAGCGTTTAACGAATGTCAATGCCGAGGCCTCATCAACATCTTCGGTCACGCTCGTCAATTATGGCTGTGCAAACGAGAGCAATGGAATAATGAACCTTCCCCCCTCCGCCCCTTTCGCTAAAAAAAATCTTAGTCCCGAGGATGCGAAAGAGTTACGTTTCGACACGAGTCTAAATAGCCGTGCGAGAGTCAAGTAAGTATATTTATAGTGCGGTGTCTGGCTTAATATTTTTAGCAAGCAATATCGTTCTTAGCCAATACGTCGAAAGTTAATGGACTGATAGGAGACTCTCAAAAGAAGATTACGCAACAGTTGCGAGGCTGTTTTTCCACGCTGCGGAAGCGGTCTAGCGTGAGCGAAGACGCCTGGTGTGAGTCTTCAGGGTCGGACGCATCAACACCTGCGAGAAGTATACGAAGAGTTCGCGACGGCGGCCTTCGTAAAATCGATTCTCTATCAAAGCAGGCAAAGAGAGAGAAAGAGTCGTTGCCTCCCGTCGAGCGATAGCGATAAGAGGCGAAGGCTTTGATCGTGGATTAATCGAACGGGCGTGATAGCCGGACATTCCCGGCATCAATCGGCGCGCTCCAGCTCGGTATAGACGAGAAATCCTCGACGGACACTAATAGCACGCTCCCGGTAACTGTCGATAAAGCGCCGTCGATGAGAAAACGAAACGGGCCCGTAAAAACGCGCCTCCTTTACGCCCCCTTCGCGCGTTTACGATCGCGCCGCCGGAATCGTGCGCCTCGCTACCGTAATTATGCGGATGCACTGCACCGCGCGCGACTGGCGTCGCGAAGGGTGATCGCGTGTGAGCGTCGCGAATCTCCAATTCGACGGGAATATATGAAGGCGTGCGCGAATAATTCCGGTAAGGAGGGCGAGGAAGCGTTTGTCGTACGTCTGGTTGGCTACTGGCCGCGTGCGTGGCACGCGTTCATATAAATTAAAATTGCAAATCGCACCCGGGACGAATAGTTCCGGTTTTAAATGCGCGCCGAAGGTAAAAGGGAACGGAGCCACTTGTAGTCTCAAGACGCGGTAATCGATACCGCGCGAGAGATGAACTTGCCGGGAATTTCGATGCGCAAGGTCGAAGAAATATCGAGAGAAATTAGCGGGATACGAAAGAAGACGACGGTCTGGTAGACCGAGAACGATGCAACACGCGATGCTCCAGCGCGGATTGTACGTGTGATCGGCGTAAGATCATTTCGATGTAATTTGTCGTGAATTTTCCTCGTGAAAATATACAACTCTGCGGTCTCGTGCGCGAACTATGAATAGCAACAGCTACTTGTCCCAATCTACTTGAAATTCATCATTTCCATGAAACATATGGGTCGTGCATGGAACTACAGAATTATTAGCGGAATTAGTGAGTGTTACTTGATAAGGTGTGATTAATTAACGTACGAAATTCTCCTCGAGTTATAATCGCCAAAATCTATTTCAGACGATTTATAATTCGCGGCAATGTTCAGGGTGAGAATTTCATACGTTAAAAAATACCTGAGGAATCAACATTACATTTATGATGCATGTATATTTATACATATTTATACAATGAAAAAAATACTATATTCAAGTAAATATTTATTCAGGAGTATTGGTGTAGTTATTTTATTTGGACTAAATAAATATTATTTGAATGCATTTTTTTTTCAAGTGTGCTGCATTTAAATAATATTTATTTAATCCAAATAAAAGAATTACTTCGATACCCCTTAGCAAATATTTACTTGAATGCAACATTTGTTTTCAGTATATATATCCGAATCGAAATTTTAATACTCTTTTCACGGTCTATAAGATAATTTGTACCTACTTAGATGGTCTATAGACTAATAAAAGCCTGTTTGGACTGCTAGTGACAACTATTAACTTCTCTCTAGAACTTTTATTTCTACAGATTTAATTTTAATGCTACCTTGAACAACCTATTTTCACGCTAAAACAGTGAAAAGGGAAATTGAAGACATCATTAGGGTCAAAGTAGGGGTAAATTATTTTATTAGGATTGAAATTATAAATCTATTTTGTTATCTTAGTTCTTCCTATATATACTACGTTGTAGAATGAAAGGTTTAATGTAGGGTCAAAATTTCGAGTATATACACTCGAATATATACACATTCGTAAACCTTTAAACGTTTCCTATATTATACGCCGTATTAAATTTTAAAAAGAATTGTATCCGTCGTGAGTTGAGGAATTAATATTAGAAGAATCCATCACGAGTCTCGAACCATCGTTCTGCATTCTTCTAAGATTGCGGATTATAAAACTTGCGCATGAATATGTGTGTGAATATCATCGATGTGAAATAAAATTAACGCGAATATTATTACGCAGTTAATAATCCATGATCGTCGAGTATTATTATTATTATCGATAGGCTTTATTATCCGATATTCATTGCATTATTATGGAAAATCAGCGTATTGAACTTTTTATCGACGCCGAATTCTACATCGGAGCGCGCGCGGAAAACGAGTTTTCACATGAGCGCGAGTACTCACAACGCGATTATTCGCGGGTTAATTGGAAAGTCTCGTGAGCGAATAAGCGGTAAGTGCGCGTACATACGTATATACGCGGTTGCATTTTGCGAACTCTTACGCCAGTTACGTCTCGCTGATTTTCTAAAGAGCGGTAAAGCGCGTGTTTTTTCTCCGGCGCGAGTCGTGCCGACCGCGTGATTCTGCCTGTGGAAATGCAAATACGTCGTTTGTTTGCGCAAATTGCGATCGGTGTCGCAAGTATGCCGGCTATTTGCCTCGCCGCCTTGCGGATCGGACGTGAGTCCGATGAGTTATCGTTGTTCGACGTAATGTCTAAATTTGCATGCTATCCGCCCGCGAGGTTCCTCCGTAGCTCTATCCGTCGTTAATTCGCCGAGCGTCGTAATCCTCGGTTGATTTGAAAGAGGTGAAATTATAAATTTACACGCATGTTGTTTTTTCGAACTAAGCTTCCATAAAACTCGTCAGAAGCTCGCACAATAGATCTGAATAATTTTATGTGAAATTAATAAATTTGTAATACAATAATTATATTAATTAATTATTGTGATCTCTGAATTGACTGTGTTGATTATATTAATATATTATATTAATATAATTGAAACACAGACATACACACACACACACACACAGAGTGTTTGTTCCCGTGGCAGTCGGGCAACGATAAAAGCATTGTTATGACAGCACCGAGGCAAGAGGAAAAAATACAGCGTTGCGACTCACAGAACAGATCGGAAATTTTAAGGGTTAATCGCGATCCGGCTGTCGACTCCGCTGAGGATCGGATAGAGCGCGACCGAGCGCTGCTTCGGGTGCGAACAGCGACGGAGGGAGACGCAAAGGGATCGATTCGGTAATACGAAGGGAATGCACCACCTTCCCCTCTGGCCCAGAAGCAGCCCCCCGTCGCTCGACCTGGAAAAGGGGGTTGGAATGGAAGGAAACCCCGCAACGTACCGCGAATCGGTCCGAATCATCCCTATGGCCGCTTGATCGCCCTTGAGAATCTCCCCTTTTTAAACAGGGCGCCGCTTTCGACGAGAAAAGTTTTTCGCGCGGAAAATGCGATCTACCACGGGAGACGTAGACTCGATCGAACGCAATGAGATATGGAAATACAGGCAGAAAGGAGGCGGTACTCACGGACGAAGATGTTGCTCATCAACGTGGCCGGCAGGCAGAAAACGATGACGAGCACGTCGGCGACCGCGAGATTGACGATGAAGAAGTTCGTGACGGTCCGCATACGGGGTGACCGGTACACCACGGCGATGACGAAGCTGTTGCCGATCAGACCGACGACAAATACGACCACGTAGGCCACGCAATAGACCGCCGACATGGCCATGCTGTGCCGGTAGAGCCGGTCCGGCGCTTGCTCGATCGCCGACAGATTCGTAGTCTTGCTGGCGTTGAACAGCCCGTGGCCCTCCTCCATCGCGGCTCGCGGACTCGTCGCGATCACCTCAATGATGATATTGTTGAGGTAGTCGCCGATGTCGTTCTTCATCTGCAGCAGGGTACCGGACGGCGGCGCACTCGCGGCCACAGTTGTCGTAGCCGGCACGTTGCCGTTGTTGCTCCTGCGGCGCGTGTCAACGTCGAACTCGTCCGAGTCCGGTAAACGCAGGGACGCCATCTCCAGGAGGGGAGACGGTGGCTGCAGCATCGGTAACTTGAGCGTGGTGAAGTGACGAATCGACGTTTCGACCATTAGCCGAAACGCTAACGTAGCAGCGTGTCGTCGTCGCCTCCTCCTCGCCGCCCGCTTATCGTGGTCGTCGACCCCAACGCGCCTACGCGATCTTCCCGCTTCGCCGAGATCTCTTCGACTTCCGCCGAGCGAGAGAGAGACTGCTTGGCAAACTTGCTAACTTCGCGGACGCGCGATCGTCAAGGGTTTCGCGGCGGTGGGACGCGGCTCCCCTGCGCGAAGAAAAACGCCGGATGACAGCAGCAACGAAGCCGACATCGATCTCGCGGTGTGATCGCACGGTGTTTACGCGTCCGGAATTCGCACGTGTGCCGAAAAACCACCCCCGAGGACACGACGGATCAAGTAGGGGGATCGAGAGAGGCTCGTCGGGGGAGAGAGATCGTTGTACGATGGGAGAAACAACGTGTATGAAAATATGTGTGTCGCGGCCGGATGCTGGAGCGACTAATGAGCTTGCCTTAGAAGACGATCGCGAACTGCCGCGAGATGCACCCGTCGCGGCGAGCTGTCTGGCGATGCTCGACGACTGCGCAAGCGTTACATCCAGCAACGGCACATGCACCCGCATGCGACGTGCTCGCGCGCACTTTCCGTACAGTAGTAGTAGGCTACGCTACGGAATCAAACGGGGAGGAAATGGAAAGATCTTCCGCATTTTCGCCCGACAAGGTGTGTATCCAGACGACCGATCTTCTCGCAAAAATTTCGATAATTATTCAACGTTTCAGCGAACGATGTATGAGGGGTGGTCGCGTGGCGTGCGCGCTCAACTAATGGAATTCGGGACTCTCCTCGGTCGTATCTCGTTCTCCGGAGAATTGAATAATTTCAAAAGCAGCGCGTTGTTTACATTTTTGCGGAAGAAGAAATACTTCTTCCGGCTCGAAAACAAGGCGGTGTATCTTTCGAGCCATCATTACGAATGGAAAGTTACGAATGAATAAATTAGGGGGTGAAAAACCTTTCGTTTGCGGTGACTAGACAATTTTCTAGAAACCTGCATTCAACGTTTCACGCGGTGCCTGCAGGAAAATGTACAACAAACTATTCAGATACAACAAACTAACCGACATAGTCGGGAGACGCGGTGAATTTTTTTTTCTTTTGTCACAAGGGACGTTCCCCGAAATGAACTCTACGCGCACGCATCAGTGCGTCGCGAAGCCGAGCGGTTTCATGGAAAGTCCGACGCGCTCAAAATTTCCTGATGTGTCAGAACCAAAGCTAAAAGTGGCCGTAACTCGGGGAAGAGCGCGCATTACATTTACACAATTTTGATGCTGTCAACAAACACGTCTTGTCGCTGCGCTGACGTGAGGTCAGCGCCAAAACTAAAAGTGCCTGTAACTCGGAAGGGATGCGTTTTATGACGCGTGTTTATATGAATGTTTTACGTCATTCTAATGAATGCAACCTGCTTCGGGAATAACACGATCCCTCCTAGTTGAACACGTTCATATCTGCGCATAACGCTCTCTTTACTCAAATCGATACTTTTTAATCGAGATATTCTAAATATTTCAACGACTGAAACACATCGTGGCCGTATATCTGATACTTGACATTTCGACGCGTGATTTGTTTTCGTCAATTTATATGTATGTAGCAATAAACACACAAATACAGACGCGTCCGGACAATCTTATTTATTGTTGTGTGGGACGCAAAGTTCCACAGCGAAACTTTTCTAATAACTCAAATAGTTTTGAAAATACATGCTTAAACTTTCCACGGAGATGATAATGAAAAATGGTTTTCCAATAAATTTGTTAAGTTTATGTAACTAAACTAACTTATTGCTATTAAATTATTTTTATATAATAATTGATGTGTGATTATTTTAAATATTGATACGATCATTTATTGTATGGTAAAAAAGCATTACTGACAAAAAAGTGAACATATTCTTTTATAAATTAACGAGCTAGCGATTAAAGTGGAAACAAATCATTGTCAATAAATGTATACATAGATCGTGACTGACGCAGATCTGGTTAATTTCAGTATAACCGTCGTAAACACAGCATACGAAAAATGTGAGATAGCGAAGATACGTAATTTTGAAAGTATCTCGCACCATCGGCGTTGAAATATTTTCGCCGCAGGTGTTTCTTATCTCACCGCGGAATTTCGTCGACTGAATTTCTCACGTCGAATGTCTGTCTTCGAATGACGAAAAGTTTCCCTTTCTCTTCATGGACGAGACAACTGTTATGATAAACGTCTCCGAATTATACTCTCCGCAAAGCCCCTAGAGAGTTCTCTTTAATTTATTAATTTACTTATTGTATTCCTTATAAATTATTATTTTGAAAAAAAATAGCGAATTTTTTGTTATAATTATAATTACTATGTGCTATGTAGAAAAACTTACAGGCTATTTGACTCTTTCTATTCTCGACAAAGAAATTTTTTCGATACTTTTATTTTTCAGAGCGAAATATAATCATGACGCGGTATCGATCAAATTTCCAAAACAAAGGGAATGAAAAAAGTTCGTTAAAAGCTACAGAATGTTCCATATTCATTGCGCTACCTTACATCCATAGATTTGTAAATCATTTTCACTTAATTTTCCTTTGACAAATTTGTTGTCAAGAATAAATGCGATTTTTTGTAAGGATTTTTAAAAATATTTTTTATCATGTTTCTTTTATATTTTACAAATTTTTCAAATCTTTAGTATCTGAACAACTAATTACGTCTTAAATTAAAAGTTTATTCTAATAACTGCACTCCGAATTTATCAAAGAACATGGTACTTTTAATATTATATGTATAATCTACAATTTATAAATGCTAATTTTTTAAATCTCCACATTTTCAATCATCTTGAATTAAAATCGTAAAAATAATGATACATTCTAATTGAATAACCAAAGATAAAATATCTTATGGAAATATTTCCATAAGAGCGCGAGAGAATGTACCTGACACTTTGAACGAATCGCATTGGTTTTGACGATGGCAGAAGAGGGCATCTTTTTTCGCCGATATCAGGCACAGACAAAATAACTCTATAAAATTACAATACTTGACCTAGAAATGCCGGGTTACTTTTACGTTAGACGAAAATATCACATCAGAATATTAAGTTACAAATGCAAATGTGCACGAAACTAAAATAAAAGTAGTTCATACACGTTATTAATCGCGAAATATTTCTCAAGAATCCTTGAGAATTAAATTGAAATTTCACAATACACAGAGATACTTCTGTATCTGAGTTATTGCTGGGAAAAATTATCTGAAAATATCGAAACTGTAACTATATATATATATATACTAACTTTATATGTACTTGAAGAGCTTTCGTTACAACTACGCATATGCAAATAAAAGTGACAAATAAACGGAACTACGCGTATTCGTATTTTTCGTCTATATTTTGAGATAGATTCGCGACTATAGGGAAAATATTTTTTCTTTCTTTTTGAGGTTTTGTTCAGAGAATATCGAGTGAAATATCCACCGTGCGTCGTGCGACGAAATACCGGCGTAAAATTGTGGCCAAATACCAAAATATAAGCTCGAACTTCTAACTTACCGATTTAATCCACGGAATATCGACGCATGCTGTATCATAATACGACGATGCACACATATATTCTCTATGTATTCGTTTCTTTCACATCGACATCTTTCACAAGCGTCCGCGCGTAAGAAGTCTATAAACCTAACCTAACCCAACCTTACCTTCGACTCCCCTCGTCACGCTGGATTCTGTAGTACGACATCCGCGCTCTCGGGAACTGTCACTGCCTTCTCGGTGCACACACACAAACACACAATCGCTCCGCCAACTCTACTAAATTCAAAACAAAAACACGTTCCCTAATTAGTTATAACAATAGATGTCGCCATATCAAGACTACGTAAGTTTAAGATTGTACATTTCTTTGTTAAACATTATTTGTGCAGACGCATTATTCTCGCTGTTTTAAATAACCAATAAATAATAAACCAATAATACATATAGTTGGAAAATTATAATAATCTAATGACATAGCGGGTTAAAAATCTATTCTGCAGGTTACTGCGCCACATCATGTATACCTTTTAAATAATCATTCTTTAGCGTCTTGGCGATATTCAGTTGAATTTCGTACGATTAAAAAAAGCACTTTGCGAATTTGTTTAGCGTTCTGCAGGGATTTGCCGGGGAAATATTTTCTGCCCTATTCTGCTCGCTCGTTCTCTTTCTTTCTTCCTCTACAATTCTATCTCTTCCTATCTTTCTATCCGTTCTCTCCGACACAACGTCGTTCGTCTTTGTGTCTCTGTATCTCGTCCGCTCGCTTGATTTCGTTTAAGTTTTTTGTAGCACGACGCCCACCGTCGTCGACGTCGTCGTAACCTTCGTCGTCTTTCGCTGATTACGTAGGATCGCATGACTCGGACGAATTGCCCAAATTTCCGGTTTCCAGAAGCGACATTACTGCGAGCGGCAGACTAAAGCGACTAATTGAATCGTACTGCCAAAGGCGTTCGGCAAAACGAATCGAAATTCCCTTTCCTAATCTTACAGCCCGCCGTTACTCTTTCTCCCGTGCAACCAGTGGTTAACCGAATTTCGCCGGCCACGAAATTCGCAAAAAGAAAAGATCTCCCCGCGCAGAATTATCGACGATAATACGATCATCCCAGCAACCCAATTAGAATCTCGATTAGTCCCTCGTAACCCGCTCCTTCCTGATCCGCCTCATCTACCCAAGTAGTCTCATCATACTCAGTTTACCCTCTGCCATCATTTACTTATGCATTCACCCTCTCCTTATCAGTAGGGTGCGAATTTCTCGGCTAACGATACCAATTACTATTAAAAGCCAATTATGTCGACGTTCGTCTTGACCAATTTTTTATTACCCACTTGTCGTTTATCGTTGTACCGTAATCCTGGATTCGCGGAATAATTCATGAAAAACTGTTCGTTTCCCAGAACTCCATTGCGAATAAAGGACTTCACAGAAATTACAACGAGCGGTCCGATTTTCCTGCGTCTCGGACTTTCGTATTTATCGCCGAAACGGGTATCGTACACTGTCGTCCTATCACACTCCTAATATAAGCATAACAACGGGACGAGGAGGAACGGGGTGGGAAAGAAGAGAATGAAGTGCGAGGGGAGGTAAGATACCGATGTCTAAGATCGCACAATGCGCCATCAACATAGCCGACTGCCATCCTCCCTCGCTTCGTAACTCTCGTCGGAATAGCCGCCTTATATCCTGCTCCGTTATATTCCCGTATCTGCGCTCTTCCTCGCGACCGAGGATTACCTTTCTTACTTACCCGCGAGTACAAGATTGCGAAGTTGCGGTAGAACGGACGATCGAGACAATGACGGAATGAAGCGAAAACTTCGGAACGGATCATAAATCCAGGGACGTCGACGTTGTCGTCGACAAGTTCGACTTCGTCGGACCGATACAGGGCTCGGTCATCGACCTCCTTCGACGTTCGCCAGTACCGCGGAACGAACTTCGTCTTGTGCTACCCTTTGGAACATCTAGATTGGAACGAACGCGGTTGCTCTTCATGGCTGTCTCCGAAATTGCGAGACAGAAAATATCTTGCGCACCTACATCGAGAAACTCATTCAGTTGACTCGAGCAAAATGCTTGTTTCTAGTATCCCATTCCACGCTATCATCTCGCGAGATCTTACGGTAACTAACGCACCTTCACTTCGATCGATTAGAATTGTTTAAAAATATAAACCTTCAAGCCTGAAAGAAGGATTCGAGGTTCAATCTCGAATTCCGACCTGTTTCAAAATTCGCATTCGAATATTTGATAATGAAAACATTCCAAACATCGGATGTGATATGTCCCAAGGTGCGACTAAATTGGGACGTCGTACGGCGGAAAGAGCTCCCAGAAGTGGCGCGATAGAAAATTACATCGTTCGCGGACCGGGTTAAGACGCGGTCTCGGGCTCGTAAGCGTTTTCGGATCCGACGAGGAAGCGAGCGAGCGAATCCTCTGGTCTCTTTGGAGAACGATAATTCTCCGTCACGCCAAACGGAAAGTCCGACTGCGTCGTTTGAATTTATCGCCGAATTGTCCCGGCAGCGAGCGAGTAATAAAGAGGATCCGCGAGAATCAGGATTACCGGATCGCAATTATTACAGTTAAACCGCGCCGGTTGACCGGTAACCCGATTTGCATCCTTTCGGGACGTCCGGTTCAACATGATGCCATCCGCTGCGCCAAGTAAGAAACTCTGCGGTATTTTTCCGAATACTTGGACGCGGCGGCGCGGAGAAGGCGAATTATCGGTATCTCTCCTTCCGTGCACCCTCTCTCTTCCTCTCGCCCCCAATCTACTTTCATCTCCATCGCTATTATCCCGGCGAGAATCTCGAAAGAGAATGTTCAGATCTCGCCGGCGATCTCGCCGACGACGATCTCTTCTCTCGGCACAATGAGACAAGGATGCTCCCTTCGTTAGTATAAACTGCATATAGGTGACTCTGCAGAGGAGCGCGAGTTCTCTTCTTTTTTTACTCTGTGCTTTTTTTCCTTCCCCGTCGTCGAGGAACGCAGCGCTCGTTCCACGCATCTCCTTCGCCATCAGTGAGAAATTGCACTTTGAAAACCGTTCGCTTTTCTCTTCTTTCTTTTCCCTCAGCGTTCCCTCGCTCTTTCTCCTCCTCCTCCGTCCTGAAGTCTCGTGTGCAATTTTTTCCACCCTCGTACGGTCTTCGCTCATCTCGCGACTTTATACCGCCACCCTCCCGGCGACTTCCGGAACTGCGGAAATTCACGAATTAATCGCCCGTGGCGAAACTACCCGTCCGAAGAATTCCGGGCAATTTTAAACTCGCGCCGAGACATTCCTGACCGGACCGTCTCTACGTTCCCGTCGGCGGGGATTACCCATCGATTCCAGACGACACTCGTCGCCGTTTTTCTCAGGGGGGTGAAACCCGATGGCCCTTTAATCAGCTAGCGCTTAGGTTAAGGGCAAGGTCGTCGTCAGCCGGTGTGACACGCGACCTGTGACCTTCGTGAGCGATATTAGAGCTGAACCGTGTGTAGCCGAGCGATCGAGTTTCGGTTAGGGTGGCTGCTGCTGGTCGCTGCGCCATGCTGCTTCAACGTGCATCTAATAGCGGCTCGGCCCTAATGCATACGATTGAATATGCGAATTAGCTCGCCTTGGCGCCCAAAGCACGAGAAACGAGTCCTTCATTTTCTCTCCTACGCGGATCGATACTTGAGAGTCACGGGGAGTCCATCGCAGTTTCCATCGGACTATTACGGGGGCGCGTTTCCACCCAAGTGCGCCGTATTTATGATGTAGCGTGGTAACGAGGGACGATATTAATGCTGCGGACGTGGCCGCACGAAAACGTAGTAGTTCACGGCGGAGTGATGAATCTCGGACAGAATTGCGCGCGAGCTGTCGGCCCTTCTACTCGGCAATGCCACGCACTATTTTCTCCATCAATACGATCCGATTTTCTTCTCATGACCTCTTTAATATCCCACGCTAAACATTATAGTATCGAAATGAGAGACGATAGGATCACTATATTGATATATACAGCGTGTCTGTCGCACACCGTCGTGTGTATCCGCGGGACGTATTCTCAGTGTAGAGAACTTTTTTCTTCACATTGACCTAAACTACAAAGTTCATCGGATAAAAGCACGACTTGACTAACTACAAAGTTTAGGTCAACGGTGAGCGAAACAGTTCTTTACACTGAGGAAAGTTTTAATGAATAACTCAAAGATTTGCGCGGTTATTTGCAAAATGGTGCAAGACTTTTTTCGTTCAGAATGGTCTAATTTATACCATTTCGGGTGACTTCTTTTAATTCTGTCGCGTGCAAAAGCGGCGAGGTACTCCCTAAAAAATCGCGACTAAATGAAAGAAAAGCAGAGGAGCGTCGACACGCTCCGGGCGAGAGGGTAGAGAATCGAAGGACGCGACCTTGCCCGTCGGCTGACTGCGAAATCGCGCCGGTTTTCATCAAGGAGGCTTCCGCGAGCGTTTCTCGAATACTTGTGTGAAATATTTGATACTTAATCCCACGCCGCGGGCAAGGACACGTCTTCGTGCGGTGTCCTGTCTGCTTTTTCCGCGATTTCTGCGTCCCGTATTGATAACGTCCTCTGGAATATTCCCTCAGCCGAGGTCGAGGTCGTCTACGTTAATCGGCGAACCTTTTAAGCCGAGCGTCAGCCTGATCCCATAATCGATGGCGTAATTCGATTCGGCCGGGCTCGATCGAGCGCTTGAAACTTATTTACTGAACGTATTAACCACCCCAATTCACCCCGGCTGGTCCCGCGACCGGTCCGCTGTTCTTCGATAACACGCCGACAAGATAAACATCCAACGACACGGGCTTCTTCATGCGAAATGCAATTCGTGCATTTTTGGGGGAAAATAAAGCGAGAAACATTGAATCCGCAAAAGTGACCAATCAAGGTTCTAATCGCTGTAAATTACCGATTGTGTGAAAAACCTAACAATATTTTGATTGCTAAAAAAGGCACATCTTTGCAACGTCCTTCGGTATAAACGGTATCGGTTCGTCTCGCGGCGCAGGACAAAGCAGTCGTTTTTGTCGCGTCGGGTTAAAAACACGAACGGCCAGACAATCGTTCATCATCGATCGTAATAAAAAGGCAATCAGAAGCGACTCTGCGCTCCGGTTGGCGCACTATTATCAATAATTTACACCGATGTTCCTCCTCCTAATTGCTCCGCTATCTCGCTTTAAAGAGAGAGATTAATAACGTGCCGGCGCGAATTCGATTTATCGTAATTAAAACACCCACGCTGATTTAATCGCGGTAGAGAGATTCCTCGGATGTCGGAGCACTCTCCGAGGAATTGCGGGTTGTCGTCGACATCGACGTGTCTCCGAAGGTCACTTTCGGTCTGACACACGAGTACTGCATATAGCGGTAAATTTTAACAGACTGAAACTACGCAAAGAACGCGGTTCAATTAAACTACGACTATCATTTTTCAATTTTCTGAAATCCATTTTGGGCGGTCGTGATGTAATTCTCAGTTCCACATTTGTGAGAAAATACCTTGATTTCCTTTGTTAACGATTTGCGGCACGTTGATTGGTGAGAAACGCGCTGGTTTAGGATATAAATTACACTATGTTACACTTTATTATACATTCTACAAACGTACACACATATTACATACAAAGATTAAATAAATCCGCTAACATGCTCGGGATTACAATCTGCTGAAAAATATCTGTGTATGTAAACGTATAAACAAAATACATATCTCTGTACACAATCTACAACGCGAGTTATACAGTATATCAATATTATACATAAACATTTACATGTCACGTTTCAATATTCGCACGATAAATAATCTTAACGATAGTTACCGGCGCCGTTCTCTAATCTATCTCCGATTAATTCAGGAAGAACGCGAAAGATCGAATGTTGAAGAGCTGTGTCGTGTATGTACAGAAATGAGTGATTCTGCGATTCGACGACGTGCGCGAACACTTTGGCAACGGGATGACACGACGTGAGCAACGTACAAGTGTAATTTATACGCGAATTTGTAAAGGGAAAATTAAATTATCGAATGTGTGAGAAAATTCGCGGTCGATGTCTCGGCGCCCTTCGGCAGAAATTCCTCTCTTTTTACAAATCAGTGCCATCAATAGAGCATGTGGCTGGTTCTTGATGTTCCTGTGGATTGATTACTCGTTCAATTTCGTCGATTATACACCACTAGGGATGGAATCAAGCTCCGCAAGGAAGGTCCGAAGAATCCGAAAATTTCAAAGATATCTGAGACTTTCCCAAAGTTTAGTACTCGTGAACCTGATCACTTCGTCGTTTCGGTAAAGATACGTTCTCAAGGATGAAGAGGCACTTCTTGAAAATTTCAAGAGGTTTCTTCTTTTAATTTTCGATTATCGAATCTTCCTTGTCGGTATATATGCAAATCTTTCTGTCTCGCGATCAAATACAAGCTTTGCGAGTATTACCGTTAATTGTTTGGGTGACTTCAGTTGTCGAAATATCATTCATCTGCCATCCTGAGAATTTCATCGAGTTCTTTGAAGAAAAACAAATGGAATTAAAGAATGTCCACAATGGATATTGATATCGATAATCGCGATACACTTGATTCCATCCCTTCTCAACGTGGCGCGACCAAGGATTGAAACCGAACAATTTGCGCAAATTCGACAAATCGTAAGGCCCAATCGTAAGGTCAAAGACAAAGAATTTCATTCATATGGAAATCTTTACTACGATGTTTCGCTTCGTACGGGAATTTTATTTTTGGAATACTCCTTTGAAAATGGGGGAGAATAGAGAGAGAGAGAGGGAGAGAATGCGCGACTGTAAAACGAAAAAGAATTAGAAATCGTGCCGAAAGCGATGGACCAGTGTATGCGGAATTGAAAATTGCGAGCGCATCGAAAATGATACCGGTTTCAACTCCTGTCGTTCCCCCCCACTAGAACCGACATCGACCTACCGTGAAGAGTCGACGTGTTCGGCAGGGAGCTGGCTAACGAGATTTCCGTTCCCGGATGCTCGTGTATCACCGTCTCGGTGATATTGTTCTCCGCTTCGGAATGCGCGCGACGGTGCTCCGCTTTCCGCCTCTTCTCAGTACTGCCGCAGCAATGCTGCTCCCGCTGTAACGTCATCTCGTGGGTATAGACCGTTTCGCCGTTCGAGAACGAGTGGAATCGTTGCCGGCGCTTCGCAGCCAGATTCGCCCGTCTTCCGACCACGCTCGAGGTGTCGTGGACCCCACGCGAGACCTCGTTGGCTCTCTCGCGACGCTGAAGAGATTTCAGCGAGTCCTCGTAGCCACTGAAATACGGAGGAGGAAAAGAAAGATCCGCGCGGATCACGAATCACCACGGGGAGAGAAAGAGAGATACGAAATTCGAATTCTGTCAAAGTGAAATCCATTTGAAATTAACCGAAGAGTCTGAAGCTTAGCTGGCGGAAAGCGAGCTGTTTTCTCAATCGCTCTCGGGATAACCCGAGAACGCATTCTCGTCGCGGAAAATTCAATTCCTGAATTGTTCGGAGAAAATCTGTCATGTCCCGAAGTTAAGGTCGCGAGGTGAGGCATGTGCGCGCATATATCGATCGCGTCGGACAAAGCGCATTCGAGCGACGAGAACTTGTAGCTGGAGTTCCCACTTACTTGCTGCTCTCGCCGCTGGAAGGACTGGACGAGTGACTGCAATGGCAGGACGCGCGCGCCACGATGCCAGAATCCTGACCGCTGGAATGCAAGGATGTCGCAGATGCCTCGAGGCCTTTCAACGTACCCGTCGACCTCACCGCGTGTTTGCCACCCCCGCCCACCCTGAAAACAGCCCGTGGCGGTGGCGTCGACACTCAACTATTCCCCGAAACCGTGGAAATCGGCTTTTTCTCTTCCAAAATACGTGCAGCCCCGAAACCATTCTTAACGATGACCACCCTGAACGATAATTATCAAACGGAATTGGACTTACGTGTGAAAACGGACGCAGCTGCCACACGCTCTGCCGTGTTCGCATATACTCTGCCGCCTGGGCATGTCGAAGGGCTCGGGGTCGTAATGGAGGCCGTCGACGAAGGTGGGAAAGAGTGGCGGCTTTTGCAGGGTGCCGGCGGGGTCCGTCAATGCGAATCCGACCGGGCCGACGGTCGAGAACATCGCCTTCTCTCGTCGTCTACGACTAACGCATGGAATTCGACACTGCCGTTCAGAGCGCGCGATTTTGTGACGTTGAGCTACGAAATCGGTGTTTCAAACGAATGCCGCGGAGAGGTCAACCGAGACGATCCCCCGTTTTCGTTAATTCGAGATATATATTTCTTCCCTTAAACAATTCAGTGGCGCTACCGAATACCAACGGAGTAATATATTAATGAGTGTCAAGGGGACGCCAAAGTCAATGACAAATTCAATAACATAGAGGCGATCCTCAAAATGTTATGTTATGTAAACACCGACACGATTACGCTACTCTACTCGTACATACAGATCTTACGTAAATGTGAGTGCAATATAAATATGAATGCGAGGAATGTGCGCTGCTCTTTTTTACCATATCTAACAGAAAATCTACCCGAGATATGTAAACATTTCTCTGCAAACTTTTCGTATTTTTTTAGGCCAGTAAATTTCATTGAAAATGTGTAAAGATATTCTTTGAAATTTTGCCGACTGAAGTATTGATACGTTCGATACTTACACTCGGAATCAATGATTCGTTGACTAAATGTTGCGCAGCCGAGAGGGACGTGTTATTGTTTATTGTTACTATTGACGCAATGTCTTGGACTTGAGTACTTAGTAATAATAAGATGCGCAATCGGCTATGAAATGAAAGAGACAGGTGTCCCGCAGCGCTTAGTCAATGAATCATTTATTCCAAATGTAGAATCTGCAGGATTTCTGTACCAAATCATTATTTATGCTAACTGACAATTGGAAGTGTCATTTTGAAAATTTTAATCATTTTCGCCGCTCACTGGGCCATGTCCCAATTCATTTTCGCGTCTATTTTCACTGAGTAAAAGCATTTATAATTCTGCGCTACCAATAAGACGTGAACTTTGCAGAAAACAATCAATATTCTCTCGGTAAAGTTTTCAAGTATGGCATCCCCTTAGGTCCATATTCTGAATTCACTTTTATCGATAAAAATGCTTTAAATGTGGCAGCCAATCAGGTGGTTCCTAAGTCACTTTTAGAAATATTTTTATGAATAAAAGTGAGTTCAGAATATGGACCTTAACGGATAGATAGTTCATCTTTTCGTTTTCAGTTCGAAGAAAAATATACAAGATGGAGGAAGAAAAGAGAGAGAGAAAGAGACCCTTTCCCGATATGTCCAGGAGTTAGTACGGCACCGTAGACGCACGTTGAGTCGACATTAGGCGAGATGGCGAGCGAGCAAAACCGTATTCCGCGTACCGTTTGTTGCGGCGAACGCAGGCGACACACAGGGCGGTCACGAGGGCGCCGACGAACACGACACAGCCGAGTACCACGACGCCCACTTCAAGGGTTGATAGCAGGTAACGCTGACTACCTCTACGTGGAGCATTACCGGCGATGTCCAGAACGCGATACTCGTCCAGCTCACGCTTTATGTCCTTTTTTTTGCTGTTGAAAACGCTGATGTCCAGCGCGTATCGTATCGTTAGAATACTCTTTTTTATAACTCGGTGACTTTAAAGCTCAATTTGATAACTATGGAAATTTGTGTGAAACGTGAGTCAAATTCAAATCATTGGGACGATCCGCTTTTAGCCCTGAGAAAGACATTCGTAATCTAGATGTTAAAGTAACATCATAGATCTTTTAGGCTCACATCACGAAAAAATGCTAAAAATCCAAATCTTTTACATTATCTGATCTTTTATGAATTATCAAGTGATAGTATCTTGTACGAAACATTGAAGAGAATATAAGCGAAAGAAAACGTGTGTAGATCTCGCAGATCTAACATGTTACTGCCAGGGTTAACAAAACTCGGGGCAAAAATAGCCCGAGAAAGAATCGTCAGGAAATCGTGAAAAAGTATGGTACTAATTGAAGCAGATCGCAAGAGATAGAATTTTTGTAAAAAGAGGATCATCTTTCGGTGAATTAGTAAAGGATTCTAGGACAGTAATACTAATAATCAGTAATAGTGTTAGAACTTTCAGTGATAATACGATTTGTCACCTGTGCAATGTGTCCATGTCTACCATGACGTTTAGGTGAGGATCGATCGCGTATATATAAAGGTCAGTGCTGAAAAGAAAAGAGAAAACAACGCTTTGAAGTTCAATATTGCAGGCGATCGTTGGACTCGATAGGACAACACATAGTCGCGTGGTCGCGTTCGTACGGGACACGAATCACTTACGAGGCCGCGTCGATCAGGTTCTTCTCGATATGCGGCTCCAGCTTCCGCACTCTTATGTCCAATCCGGTGACGTTTTGCAACGCGCTGAAAGACAAATACGTCATGTACACGAATAAAAAGATTAGCTTCAGTAGCTAAATCAGTCGTGACATATGGACATTGAAAACTTGTCACTTATGGTAATACGTTTGCAGTGGCAAGAAGAAAGATTGCTACTGCAACAATTGAAGTTGCTAAAATTTTCGGTGGTACAACTAATTTAGTTATCGACGCGACACGGAGCTTACGTGGTGATGTTTTCGAGCTCCAGTTCGATCTCGATAGGCTTCCGTCCCATCACCATGACAACCTGTTTCTGATCATCCAACACGTACACCTGCGAATTCGAGAGGCAGATACATAACCGGATGGCGGAACAGACTGCTAAGATTGGTGTCGAATGAAACGTAGACATGGGGAGCAGAAGGTAAGGAGGGAGGGAGAGAGAGCTTCCGTCTTTTGAAACATCCCATTTCCCCGACGGGGAAATTAGACCGAGCGCTATCTCTGAACGGCGAGCAATTAAGATACATGGCGCGCGAGGTGTGGGAGTATAGAATATATAGTTGACTCACGAAGACATTGGCGATGCTGCTGCGTCCGTTCTCGGCGCCCTGTCTGTCGGTGGCCTTGACGTCGAAACCGAAGACGCGTCCGGCGTCGCGTCCGAAACTCGCCACGGATCGTACTTGGCCGCTGAGCGGGTCGATGGCGAAACGCGGCGCATCCTCCCGGCCAAGAATCTGGTAGCGTATCTCGCCGTTTATCCCTTCGTCCGGATCCTCGGCCTGCGAGTCGCCCCGGGTGAGTCTCACGATGAAATACTGAATCGCACTTCGCAAAACTCTCCCCGCGTTTCATTCACGACGACTTTCCGAACTGACGTGATTCTTCCGAAGTTTTCGACCGATCGTACGAAACTTCCGTTCAAAATGCGACACCGCTCATTCCATTAATGCATCTCTGTTGCATCGCGATTAACGGGCAAGAAGTTCCGCGGGAAAAATAGAGAATGATCTCGGCAAATTAAATCGAGCTTGGAAGAGAGATAGAAAGAGAGGCGTGCGCGCGAAAAGAGAAGAACGGTGAGTAAAAACGTAAATGGATTAAAACCGACTCGCTTTGAGTGTTTCACCTGCATATAGAGCGGCTTGCACGCGTGAGAAAAAAAGAGAAAAATGGAGAGATAGCGCGCTCTGTAAGTCCTCTACATACACACACGTACCTCCACTTTGACGACCTCGTAACCGTAATGTGCGGTAGTTGGTACGGCGGCTAGAATGGGCCTGCCTTTGGACTTGAATCTGGGCGAATTATCGTTCACGTCCTTCACTTTCACGACGACCCTGGCTTCGTTAGGCGCCAGGCCGTTCAGCCTCTCGCCGGTCACCGGATAGATCATCACCGGCATACCGCGGCCGATTTTCACTCGGTCGACCCTGACCTTCGCCTCGTAACGCTCTCGAGTCTCCCGGTCGATCTCCGTCCTCAGATAGAGAGAACCGTTCTTAGGATCGACGGAGAAATGCTCCCTACTGTCGGAGCCGTCGGCCACGACGCTGTATCTGATGTGGTCGCCGCGATAATCCTCGACGAGATCGAGCTGTGCGACCAGCAACGGCACGGTGGCGTTCTCGTCGACCTCCACCTCGTAATATCGGTGCCGGAAAGTCGGCATCTTGCGCACCTCGTTGTCCGCTTCCTGGCCGTCCTCGTCGTCGTCGTCGACGTTCAGCACCGTGACGAGAACCACCGCCGAGGAGGTGAGACTGACCGGTGATCCGAGGTCGCTCGCGGTGACGATCAAACGATGGCTCCTCTTGCTCTCGTAGTCGAGTTTGGCGATGGTGGTGACGACGCCCTCCTTGCTGTCCACCGCGAAGTACTGCTTCTCCGCTCGGTCTTGGTAGCTCAAGTCGAACAAGATCAGCCCGTTGCCGTTACCCGCGAAGTCGCTGTCGTTCGCGTACACCTTGGCCACCTGGGTGCCGATCGGGCTGTTCTCCAACACGGAGACTCGGTAGACCGGCAAAGGAGCGGCGCCCTCTTCCAACTCGTCGTAGCCATGGAACATCGGCGCGTTGTCGTTAACATCCAACACGTTGATCTCGACCTCGACGGAGGAGCTCAGACTAGGCGAGCCTTGATCGTGAGCCACCACGAGGAGACGGTGAGTCGTCATCTTCTCGCGGTCGAGCGTCCCGCTGACTCGTATCACGCCCTCGTAGGGATCCACGCTGAAGGACCGCGACGCGTTCCCGCCCGAGTCCTCGTGGCTGGTGATGAGCTCGTAGCTCAGCTCGGCGTTCACGCCATAATCAGCGTCGACCGCACGCACCGCGCCGATCGCCAGCTCGTCGTAGGTGCCTTCGGCCACGTCGAAGGTGTACCAAGACTTGTCGAAGACGGGTGCGTGATCGTTCACGTCGGTCACGTGGATCCTGACGGTGATGTTATCGGACAGGCCGCCGGAGTCCTTCGCCACGACGAACAGCCGGATGTCCTTCTCCGGCGGCAGGCTGCGGCCGACCGATATCTCGGCCGTGCGCTGGTCGAGGTGGAAGTAACGGCGGCTGGTCGCGTCGTAACGCCGCGACCGCACACCATCGCCGGAAGTCGTCTCGTTGCCGAGGCTGTACGTTATCGCGGCGTTCGCACCCTCGTCCTTGTCGTCCGCCAGTAGACGAATTATCGGCGCGCCGATCGTCGTGTTCTCCGGCACCAACAGCAGCGGCGAGCGTCGCCCGCTCCCGTCCTCCAGCGTCCCGTCCTTCGCATGCGGATCCTGCGACACCCGGACACCCTGGTCCGGCAGCACCACCATCCGTATGAACTTGGGCGCGTTGTCGTTCTCGTCCAACACTGTTATCTTCAACGTGCTCTCCGACTTGAGGCCACCTGCCAGACAAATCTCGAGTAAAGTATATCGCCGGAATTGGATGTCGCGCACGGTTACGTACCGGTGTCGGTAGCGGTCACTTGCAATTCGTAGTTGGCTCTTGACTCGCGATCCAGGGTGCTGTCGTCGATGCCCACGAAGTACACGTGGCCTGTTGTCGGATCGATCCGGAACAGACCGCTGCCCTCGCCGCGCAAAGCGAAGACGAAATTTCCATTCTCACCCTCGTCTTTATCGCTCGCCGCAATTGGACTTGACAGAGTGATTTCCGTTCCCGCGGGACTGTTCTCCATGATCCGGCCTTCGTAAGTGGTCAGCGTGAATTCCGGCGCGTGGTCGTTCTCGTCATCGACGATGATTCGTACCTGATCGTCAATTTGTTCCAATCATTTTTACACCGTAGAAGAACGATAGAAATCGGCGAATCATAAGTGTGACGGGATTTCCTGCGAGGTTTCTCTCGAAAATCATTTTACAGAGATATGGGTGATTAAAAGAAAAAAGAGAAGGAAAGAGGAGGAAGCAAGCGTTAAAATTGTCAATAAAGGGTGTAATATATAATGCGTATGATAATCTAATATAAAACAATATTACAGTTCGGCTCAATAACAGTAATTAGGCCCCCAAAATATGTTCTCTTTATACTGAAACACCTTGTATATTGTTTTGCAGCTTAATTCGTGTATAATGAATCTATATAAATATGATATATTCAATAATAATAATAATTGATACCTGGAACACACCGACGCCGCGCGAACTCTCGGCGATCACAGTGATGCTGTAGTTTTGTCTCGTTTCGCGATCCAGACCTTCTGGAGCATAGAGAGAACCATCCTCCATAATAGCGACATCAGGCACATCCTGCTGATTGACGATAAGGAACCGAGTGCCAGACATAGCCGCCGCTGTCTGATTGTGCGGAAGCACTTGGCCGATCAATGCGCCGGGAACGTTCTCCTTCACGTGGAAGACCAGAGAGGCGGTGGTCGTTCCCCTGCAATCAACGGTCGTCGACTTTTGAATAAGCAAATGGCACCCTCCGTCGTCGCCGTCGGGACCTCCGACTTTTCGACGCGTCGACAAAATCAGCCGGAAAATCTGGCGTATCGATCTCGCCTCGGTTAAGTTACATCGAGGGACGCTGCGCGAGACAACGAATTGCAGCAATCGACTCAATTCGATCAGTCGCATTGAAAATTGAATTTAATTCGGCCTATCTGACAACAGACAACCAAAGATAGAATTTCTGATTGGAAGAGCGAAATTTGGTTTATCAGGACTAAAAATGAGTTTTCTTCGATCGGAACGCATTTTCCGTTGTCCATCGTCGGGTGGATCCAACCAAACTCATTTTTCAGTGCGAACGGAACTTCCGAGATTGTTCCCCGCTCGAAAGTGTCACCGGAGCTATTAAGAGCGAGCAGCCTCACTCACTTGGTGAAAATACCGCGGTCGTCGTTGGGATCCACCACGTGGACCGACACGTTCGTGATGAGCGTGAGCTCCCTCTCGTCGCTGACGACCGCCTCGAAGTTGTACGTCGACCGGTCGAAGCGCTCGATCTCGTCCACGACCGTTATCGTGCCGGAGCGCTCCTCCACGGCAAATGGAACTGAAATCCCATCGTGCGTGTATGTGTTCCGTATTTGCATGAGTAATATTTTTGCCCGGCGTGTTGAAATTGGGACAGGCGTTTTATCGGGTCGTTAAGAAGTCGCGCGGTCTTCATTTCATCCGCGGGCAATGCGAATTAATACGTACCACCTTCTTCGTAGCCGTGCAGCAAATCGTAGATGAGGTCGTTGGTTTTCACGGCGTCGTTCAGGCGAATCTGCCCGACGCTGGTACCTACCGGCACGTTCGCGCCGACCCAGAATTCGTAGGGCGCGCCGACGAAATCCGGCTCCCACGAATCCGGACCTGGAAGAGCGCGAGAGCTTAAGGTGAAATTCGGCCGATCTTGAAATTCAAATTGGCCGACTCGACCGTCCGAAATCTCCGCTTTCTAAGTTCGTCGCGGTCATTGCGCCTTCGGTTTCTTTCACTCACCGTCCGCGCGGAAAACATCAACCGTGACGACCGCCAAGGAGAACCTCCTCTCGCTGGGGTTCGCCGGCTGGTCGGCCGCCTCCACGAAGATCGCGTGCCTACCCTCGAGTATCGGACTCTCCGACACCGTGATCACTCCCGTCTCCTCGTCCACCGCGAACGGCGGCTTCCTCAACGTGGAGTTGCCGGGTTTCTGTAACTTGTACCGGACCAGTCCGTTCGGCCCCAGGTCGTCGTCCACCGCGCGTACCTGGCCGAGCACGGTACCGACCTTGCCGTCGCTCCTCGCCACCAGTTCGTACAGGTTACCCGGCACGAAAATCGGGTTGTTGTCGTTGGCGTCGAGCAAGGTGACCTCGACGTCCACGGATGATCCCTTCGAGGGGCCGCTCGTCGGGACGACGCTCGGACTGTGTTCCACCGCGTAGACTTTCATCTTCAGATGATCGCGTTTCTCCCGATCCAGAACTGTCTGATCCTTGACGGTGAGCCAGCCGGACTCCGCGTCCACGGAGAACGCGCCCGACGGGTCCTGCAGCTTGTAATCGAACTCGCCGTTTTCACCTTGATCCTTGTCGCGCGCGACCACTTGCAACACGCTGAAACCGTTCGGCAGATTCTCCACTATGCTGATATTGTAGAGATCGACTTCGAACTGTGGCAAATTATCGTTCAGATCGAGCACCTCCACCTCGACTCGCGCGACCGTCATCTTCAGCGGATTGTCCACCTGCGAGGCGTGGATCTGCAGATTGAACGTGTTGCCCGGCAAGCTGCGCTCGGCGTCGAGATCGATCGCGCGCTTCAGGAACAGCGAGCCGTTCTTCGGGTCGAGATGGAAGAAGCCTCGCTCGTTGCCGGATATGATGTCGTATCGCACCGGCACGTTTATGTCCCGGTCGCGATCGGCCGCGTGGATCGGGCTGGTGAAATTGATCTCCATGAAGATCGGATATTGCTGTGAAGCGGAAAGCCACGTAATGGGATTTAACGATATCGCGCGTTAGGAAGAAACGATTCAATTATTAAACATATCATAAATAATATTATAATAAATAATAAGAAAAAAGTTATATATAATTATCACTTAAACTCTGAACAAAATTTCACGAAGAACTGGATATTTATTATCAATATTTTTTTCTTTTTTCTGTAAAAATTACTTTTTGTATCACCTAATAATTAAAGGATATTCCCGTTAATAAAATGATGATTGCGATTATGATCAATCTTAACTTTCGAATCTTTAGCTTTGACTATAACGTCAAATTTTTTTAACCAATCATACTTTTTAATTAAATTTAAAGAAATCAGATTTTCTTATATAATTATATTTTTTAGCGAATTTAATCCCGCTAAAATGGACTTTTGTGTGCATCGAAAGTAAAGTAATTTTCATAATTATAATATGTACCGGCATAGGATAAAATTCGTAGATTTTCGCCTTGTAGATGTCCCGCGTAAACTTTGGATCAAGATCATCGTTATCCACCACGGTTATCTTTACGGTGGTGTTCGTACTTCTGGCTGGAACGCCTCGATCCTGAAGCATTACGTTAGTACATGTCTCACGTTATCCTTCCATGTAGATCATTTTACGCTCGTGAATTTTACGTATTTCTATTATCAAATCGTGACATTTTTATCGTTCAAAAAATTTAAATTTCATAAAGTACTTTCACGGATCAGAGCTTGATCGTCGATAACCACAAGTGGTCTGCGCCCCGAACAAAAGCGAAAGCGTTCATTTTGAAATAAGAACACGAAACAAAACCGTATTCTGCGTTTCGCATGAATAAACCCACACTTTTATTAGAAAGCAACGCTCCGTATTTAGAAGTATTCGCTCGCAAGTGTCTTTGTCGTAACTTGTCGTACTACCGCGACCAGTAATTTAACCATAAAGACGTGAGATTATAACTTTCAATTTTAAAACACACATTGCAAAAGGAATAAAATTAAATGGCGATATACTTGAAATATATCGGACGAAATCGCTAAGTCAGCCAATTCCTTCTTTCTGGATTTGTTTGCTTTCACAGACGGACGGACGTGTGCGTTTCATCTCATTATTCATTCATAGCGTCACGTCGTCTCGTTTCTCGAGCGCATGTACTCACAGTCGCCGTAATGACCAAAGTAAACTCGCGATCTCCGGTGTCGTAGTCGACCGGCTTGCGAAGTATCAGGGCGGTCCTGTGACCGGATTCGAGGGAAAATTTGCCCTGCTCGTTCCCCTTCACAATGGCATAATAGACGTCGCTGTTCGGCGTGTTCGGCTTGTCGCCATCCACAGCGTGAATCCCGCGAAATATCGTCACACCTGCCATATTAAATCTCGAATCTTTATACCGCACATTTTGACCTTTCAGCCGCGACATGCGCGAGAATTGTACTTTAAAATTGCCAATTAACCAGGGAGAGAGAAATGCACCGAAAGAATTACAGCATAATTGGGCATTTCTTGCTGTATGTAAATATCGCTGCTCATGATTGGTAATAATCGCACGTTCCTGATACACGTAACTTTTATCTCGACGTTACTTTACCGGTTACGGCGTTCGGAGAAAAGTCGAGTTGAATTTTTAAAATCGCCGCACGAATTTACTTTATCATCGGTTGTGAAAACTAGACATCACTTTTTAATCTGCCGAGGCTAAGGGAGAATTACACGATTGGTAGGAATTACGTTGAATAACGGCAAAAAGCCGCGCGATTGGTCGAAGAGATGGAGAGAGAGAGAGAGAAAAAATGGAACTATGCGTCAGACTCTGAAACGTGTTCGAAAGCAACGGACCGTGCCCGAACGTATTTCATTTCCGCGAGCGTGAATTACGCGATACACGTATATGAGCAGGGTATTAATTAACCGAAATTCACAGGTGCACGGAGCGATTTATGACATCGCAGTTCACTATATCTCACCTACTGGCGTGAGCTCGTCCACCGTCACATGATAAGGCGCATCGACAAATTGTGGCGCGTGATCGTTTATATCCTCCACGTAGACCGTCACTGACAAATGCGATGATACCTGGGCATAAACGGCGAAACATAAGTCACGCGGTCTCTCACTTGTCCCTAATTCATGCTGAATTATCACGATATCGACTCTCGTTCGAATCGTGAAGAGAGAAAAGAAACTATCGCCTTTGGAAACACACACGAATGAAGGACGAACGAAAGCTCGACAATCCTCTCTCGTGGAAAACGGTACTTTGCGTACTCCGGTACCTCGGGTTCCCAGCGGAACGGCGTTTATTTAGGCGCGTGCACGCTCGTCGTCGGAGGGATCAATAGCGGGTTTAAGAGTAGCCGCGGAGGTTCGCACGCGAGAGCCGTAATCATCGTAATTCAGCCGAGTAAATAGTACATTGCGGCGAAGATCGAGGCTCGCTCGCCGTCGATCACCGCTTTCGAAGCGACTTTAAATCGAGCCGTTCCCGGACGTGTTACGAGGACGCGCCGAAGATCTTCGAGAATACGACAGTTTCGGACTCTGAATTATTAAAAAGCGGAAAGTGGATTGTAGAGGAACGTTAAGGACTCGCGTTCAACGCTAAAGCTAGCTAGCATAAAGCGGTACATAGATAAGCAGACGTAAGCGGTAAAACGTAAACAGTAAGCAAATTGACCAATCGACTATTTTCCTTATGGTTTAAGAATAATCGACTGTAGTTGGTCAATTTTCTTACTGCTTCAGTTTTACTGCTCAAGTGTTTTTATGTGCTCCCGGCCTAAGTACGTAGCCGAAGGGAAGCGACGAGGTGTCGAACGAGCGCGTTATTACGCACATTGATGACTATCATCGGTAGGACTTCGGTATTTCCACGCAGGAATCGTTACATAAACATGGTAAATGTTACGTATAGGCGACGTTTGGAAAAAATCGGTGAACTCGCCGTTCCTTCGCGTCTCGAACCGGTCGCCGCACGCTCTGATTGCACTCGCGGTATCAAAAGTCTCAAAAGTCAGAAGCCCGGGAAAATGTCCGCAAGTTTAATCGGTAGTCGTTCAAAGAGCAACCGGCGACACCCGGCAATTCGAACTCACGGAGCGGAACTTGAATCAATTATCGAACAGGACCGGAATCGAGTTTTTTCTCTCAAATGGACAGGTATTTCGGATTCGGTTGAGTTCTGTTGCAAATGTCAACACCGGAGTAACGATCGCTAAAATATTGGAATTCTAAAATTTACCAAAGAGTCGCCGCTGCCCGATTCGCAGGAGACCCGAAATTTCAACAGGTTCCTCGGGATCTCCGCGTCCACCAGATCCTCCAGGGACTGCGCCAGGTTCAAGGAAACGTGCGTCTTGTTCGTTTCTTTGTACGTAAAGAAATCTGCGTCTTCCTCCTGTAAGGTAAAATTTACGGGCTGTATCTCCATACTTCGTAAAAGAAAGAAGCCGTTTGTACGATCTTCAGTCGTAAACATGTAAAATATGCAGAAAATTAGAATAATACCTTGTCGACCGGTAAAATGGCAAGTCGATTTCTCGGATGGGCCTCCAGTGAAAGAATTTCGGTCCCCGTTTCGAGATTCTCCGGTACTCTGACGAATTTTAAGTATTCGCCGACCGGATAAAATTGGCATCCTAATGGAATGAAAAATTCTTAATATTAAATCGATTAGAAACACAAGAGACAAACGCTCGCGCAACGTCAGAATTACGTGACGGTTTGAGTGAAATTAAATACCATAAAATAACACGTAATGTCAACGTTAGGATATAAAACTATAAAATCAACGAATAGATATGAATAGTAATGCTCTCGAGCACGTCGCGTCGACTTGAGGTATTGTAGTTTTGGGAACAAAAACGTACGTATAAATGCGTAATTATCGAGCAATCATTTTTGACGCTAAGAGCAACGAGTAGGGAGACGCGTCGCGCATGATTTCTGATTTTTCCGAATCGTTCAAAGTGTGCGTGAGATGCGTTACATTATTTCGCATGTGCAATCGCCGTGGTAGTGTTATCTTGAACAGTAGCAGCATTCTGAAGGTAACCGCCATCTTTCATTTTTATTTTAATATTGATATTTCGGTGAGTCAAAACAATAGGTAGAAATATTTAAAGTGATGGGTCTGTTAGTGTTTGATGTTATAATGTAGGTCACACATATCGCACGAGATGATTTGTAGTCGAGATATCGAGATATCATTATGAACTAACCGTTAATCAGCAGCATGCGGGAATTTGTTAATTCTAAAAATACGCGCTTTATATAACCACCAAAAGTGGGACACGAACTGGGATCTAACGGCTCCTACAATTCTCAATTGCTCGTCCGCTTGTCTTTCCGCTTCTCTATTTAAACGAAGCAGGTGCGAATCAATGGCGCGTCTGGCATTCTAGAATAGCGAGTTCAATACGAGTTCCCGCAAGGGATCTTAAGAAGTGCTTATCCTTCATTTCCGAGACACAACGTCGGCTTTGATTATTTCGTCCTTCGTATCCGCGAAGCATCACGGCAATCTCTCCGTAATGTACGATAATCCATGGTCGCGAGATTATAAGCTGAATAAATCGTCATTTACGAAAGTAGTGACTCTCATCATCAAGAAAGAGGCGATAAGCAAAGGGGAACATCGTAGAATATATCGAATACGATGTGACATAAACAGCATTGTTTGCCATCGTCGCGGTTGCGCGTCAATTTCCGGCCACTTGTCAACTCCGCTTTCCTTCAACTTATTTTCGAAGTTTACGACGAGAGTAGCTCGATCTATGCAGCCAAGATAAAATATTTTGGAATCTTTAAGCAGTTGTTTCTCTCTCTTCCTCACCAGCAACTATAGAAACTTTCCTCCCAAACACTTCCGATTCTTCCCCGGGAAGATGCAGAGAGATTTTTTGATAAGATTTTTTATCTCCACATCCGTAGATATTGAGATTACGATTTTGCAACGTATGTACTATACGTATGTATATAGACTTAGCCACGTGTTAATCCGACCAAGTTTCTCCGTAATACTTAAATAATGGGTCTTCTCGCTTGCACAGTTTACCATGTGGATCAAGTACCTTATGCACGTAAGAGGAGAATCGGTAACGCGAGTGTCACGCGATCCACCGGTTTAGTGAAAATTATCAAATTTGCGATGAAATTTTGTTTTAATCGTTCCGCTTTGTATATGTAATAATAAAGCAGGTTAGAGGCTTGATGTAGTGTTACTTAGAAAGCGTAACACTGTCGTGTCAAAAATACAATTATATACTATTAATATCATAAAAAGAATCGTTTTCTTATTCGTACGATCAAATCAAGAGAAAAGTTTCATTTCCCAAGGCAGGAAATCTTTCTAAGAAAATAAAAAACGGTATTACATTCATTATATTGTTTGAAATAACTAGCTTCGTTCGAATTAAGATGTATGATTTAGCCTTAAATTACTTTGAAAGAACAAACGATAAATTGGCACTTTGAGTAATTTAACATTCAAAATTCCTCTCTGCTCGCTTTGCATTTCAGAAGCGCGCTCGGATCCGACGCATGTGACTCGAGAGCGCCGCGTGCGAAAAACGTAAAACGTAATCGCCTGCGTTTTACGTACTAATTGTTGCGCACTCGCTGGATCCACGTGGTGAACGTGGCCGACTAATTATCCAGCATAATCTGGATGCAAGAGTGAAACATCGCTTCCGACTGCGAAAGGGAACAGATCACGAGAGACGATAGCGGGTCGCTCGTTGCGTCGTTATCCAACGGCAACGGAGGAAGCACGATCCTCGGTCGATTTTATCTCAATTTATTCAGGGCTGGGTGCCGCGATCGTTCGCTCGATCAGATCGGAGAAGGATTCGTGCGGTGCATCGCGCGGCTCCGCGATGTTCGCAGATTTTCAAGCCGGTTTAATCCTCGCGGCAGCGCTCGTTAAGATACATTTACAACTACCCCGAGCCTTTATCTCCTCCCTCCTCCACACCCATTGTCGTAAAAACGTCACACGCCCGAGGATTCATCTCGTTTCGAGCACTCGCGCGACTTACGCTCGCGCGCCGCTAACGTAACCGCGGATCATCTTTTTATCCTCGTCGAAGCTTTTTCGACGGTACTCCCGAGCGAAGCACAATTACGCGTTGTAAATACTTCCACGTTCTATGTGCGCCGTTACAGAATTCCCTACAGGGTGTATCAAAGGGTGAAATCGACCGGCGCAGTATAGAAAAAATAATTGCCCGCTTGTAAACTTTTCATGTACACATATCGGCTGCAATTTAATAAATATAGAGTTTTCCGAGTCTTCCGCGGTTAGAAAAACCGGATGAAACTTTTCCTTGGACGATTGTGTACGAGGGAGAAACGTAGGCTCGGTAAGTCCGGCGAGATGAATTCACGCAGCACAGATTGTGCGAGCGTGCGCGACGTGAGGTGCGCTCGCGTGAGAGAGAAAGAGAGGAAGAGGTTTCGAACATTTTCTCCAATAATAAGGGAAGATTGTCAGACAGATCACGTGATTGCCGTTCTGTTCCGTTTCGCAAACAAGAAACGCACCGCATCTAATGATTATTGTTTACTCGCATCGCCGTCGGAAAATATAGAAACGCTGAGTGAAAAGCGAAACCGCAGCCGATACAAAAAGTCCACACAGATGATTTATTTTACATATTTTCTTTCCTTCATCCATCCATCCATACACACGCGCACGTACACATACATACGTACACACACACATCACGATTTCGTTGCTTGACCTTACCTTTTGATACACTCTGTATCAAGAACTCGACAAAAAGCCGGCGCGCGTTTCTTGCGTAACACGTTATCGCATCCCGATCTCATAAATCTCAATCCACTCGAAGGTAAGTTCGGGCTTGATGCATTGTTATTCTGCCCTATTTATGTCACGGCGGTTTAACGCGTCGGCATCATTAGTTATCCCGCTTCAAAGCGCGCCGTATAGCTCGCGACAAGTGCCGATCCGCGTTTGTTGATCGACGCTGCTTTGTGAGACTTTAGTTAGATCCCTGGTGTCCGCAGGTGACCGGTTGTTACTTATCAACGCGTCAGACTTTCACCTTATCGTACCGCCAGTGCAGTATGAGTCCGATTACGTGGGGAACGTGGCGTGCGAACCTTGCGAATGGTTTTCCACGACGGGTTTCGACAGTGTGTCACCGGTCCGACCGGTGTATCTCGGAAGATAAAGGGCCGATATCTTGATCTTTGCTTTTTAGCTCAACTGTCCGCACTAGCTCAAAGAAATTTACGCATTTCATTCATATAATTGACGTTAAAATGACTTTAACCATTTCAACTTTGATTTTAAGGCAAATTCTGAAACTTTGAAAAATAGAAACTGACGGAACAACATTGACCTTCCTAATTTCCAAGTGCGAAAATTTCTTTCTTATAGGTAAACACGTTCTACCAGTTTATATGAATGTTCTCGATGAGCAAAAGCAAAGCTGTCCAATTCTTATTTACATATATGGATCACGACGAATGCCGATTATGTGTGCTAATCTCGATATTCTCTCGATAGCCTCTCTCTCGCAGGCGACACGCGAGAAAACGATCGCGCGCTGTCTCGTCGCGAACGTGCGGATCAGTTATGCCTTAATTACGAATTTGCTTACCACGGCGGAACTAATTGCGAAACTTAAGTCCAATTATCATCGATGCCGTGTGCCGCCGGTTAAAAATAACTTTACACTTTCTAACCGTCTGTGTGAGATAGGCGAAGCTGATCCACACGTTTTCTTGCGAGGTGCGAATCGGTCTCGGCTTCTGGCCCGCCACTTTCCGCCTCGAACACTAAACGATTACGTACAAAGCAGGCTACGACTTTGAACACAGTTCTCTGAGGGATTTAATGCAAGAACGAGCGACAGGGTCGTTTTTAATTATATCCATCAATGCGTGACGATACATAGTAGCCTGTATTAGCTTCCTGTTAAAACTCGAGTCGAATTAACGTCATGCATTATGGAGGAAAAATCGATAGTTATATATTTGAAGTACCAGCTCTTATTTAATCGTTCATTTCCGTTTGTTACAGCGTTTTATCGATAGATTGAGATCGTTCTGATTTTCCTTCATATCTACAATCTCTTTTTTACGGATTTACGGGCAAGAAGACAGGAAGCCCGTGGTAATCACTGAGAAAGTCGAGCCCTGGCCCGAACACTCGCATGTCCCCTTGTTAAAGTCAACCACTTTGCTTTTAATATCTTGTTTAATTACGTAATCGGTGCGCTGATGTTTGCCTATAAATTGAACCATATCGTCGGGATTCTCGAGCCTCGACATGAGACAGACGAAGAACTGCGGACGTTTTAAAGGAATCACTTCGCGGGGATCGCGTTTCCCCGATCCTCCTTTTCTTCCCTCCCATCTATCTGACCCTCTTTCTCTCGCTCCCTCGGCTTTCTCTGTTTCTCAAGTCGATGCGAGAGGAGGATTACTTTTGAAAGACGGGCGGGCCAAGAAAATCGCGAGCGCTCGGCACATCTCCATCCGGACGCACGGATTATATGACATATGCGACAATGGGTGCGCTTGCCCGTGCCATGATATCCGCACACAAGCACATACATATATTTCTGCTGGAATATGCATGTATACGTGTCGTGCGCGCGCGTTCATCGTTGCATTTACAGGAATAAGCCCGTTCCCTGAAGCTTTGACGAAAGTGGGCCAGGGTCAGCCGGCTTTTTGTGTACTTCCGTAGCTCCTTCACGTTTAGGAACGAACGACGTTGAAGCTCGCTCGGACATATGCGTCTTCGAGCTGCCAAGCGGTTTACTCGACGTTGTATCCCTTGCGCGGACGTCTCGGATGTCTCGGACGTCTCTTGTTGGCTTTAACCGGGAAGTGACGAGGAAATGCTCCACAAATAATAACGCCGAATTCTCGAGATTGAACATTTGTGAGATTTGAGATTGGGCAGCTCTTCAAGTACGTACAATATAATGATTACGACTTAATGAGATCCTCCCGGTGTCTCTGTATATGCAGAAGGAATGATATTTTCCACAATAGCAAAATTATTTTTCTCGGTGCGATCGCTCGATTTTCTCTTATTCAGCGTTTGTTTAATTAGATCCCACTCTGAAATACGTTTGACGTTACATAAAACATTCGCGAAATTCACCGTGATATCTGGGAGGAGAAAGAGGCGTCGATACTTTACTTCGATGTCAGTTAGGTAGCGATTCGACGGTCGGAGATGACCGAAGATTCGAACTGAAGTTTAATTAGCTGCTATATGGAGCAGCTTCCGCTCGAATGACAGTGTATTCTTGTGTAGTTCCTGCATTGTCGCCGGTAACAATGCTCCCGCGCATACGCGTACACTCACGCACATGGCAGTTCGCTGATACATGAATACGTAGGAGGGAAACCCGACGGAGGAGTAGTCCAAGCTCTGCTCGCGCCTTCGGACGACGCGATGGACTGTGTTGATTCCCATCGTTACCATTTTAGATCGTGAGATCGCGGTCGCGTTTACATCGCGTTTGTTATAATTTGCGGACGGCCCGTTAATGAATCCTTCGCGCTCGCGCAGCCGTCGAGAAATTAATTCGATATCTCGTTAGTCTGTTGCGCGTTCACGAACATTCGAAGCGCGGTTCCCCAGGCGCATTTACCGTTACGTGTCGTCGATTAATCCGCGCGCGCACGCCCGCGCGCCGAGGATTAACGTAGCGCGCGAGTACGCGCGTACATAAACGCCGGACTTGACGGAAATCCGCGCAGTCATCCATTATACTTCCTCCCATCGGTGCCACCCGACGGTACTGCAATGCCGAAGTTGAGCCTGTGGGATTCAACATATTCCGCAATTTTGCCCCTTTTGGCTTCAACCGGCGGGTCATTATTCGTGTAATTTTCCCCGTACACCGATTTTGCAGAATGTCTCGACTTCAACTGGACGTACTTCTCGTCGAGTATGAAACCGACTTGATTTGCACACATTTTTTTTCAACATATGCATTCCTCCTACGATAATGTAAATTTCACATCGCTACAGCAGCTGCGATTCGGCCCTCATTGATCCGTCGTATCTTTTCTTGGTTTGTAACCAGCGGAATCTTTATAAATATGCCGTTTGTACAAATTATTTTCTCGCAATTTTATCACGCCGAGAGACCGCGCTATTCTCGATCAAATGAATAAGCGACGACGATTAATGAGTATAGCGTGATTATTAGAACGCGATCTCACCATTAAGAGCTCGCAGCTGCTCTTATTGAGCCAATTGAGCCTCGACGATTACGGAATAATCAATTTACGCGCGCACATACCTGTTACATGCTGCGCTCGGACGAGGAAGATGAGCGAAACCGCCGTGATCAGCCAGGAATGCGGCGGTGACGAGGTAAAGGTGGACGTCCTTCTCCGTTGCGACATTTTCGGTCCCTCTCCGCTTCCGGTGTGCGTCAAGTCAGTCAGTCACGCTGTCCCCTCGTACATCCCTGTTAAAATTATTCACGGTGAGTCGACGCCTACCTGGCGAGGTCCGTCTGCCGGCGAACGCGCAGAACCGTGACGCCGCGTCTTCGCAAGTTGCACTAATTGTAAGTGCACCTTGCGAGCGCGTGCAAGGTGCGCATCCTGAGCGGGTAACAGCGATGAGCGTGTTCGAATCTCGGTCTTGGAGATTCGCGAGACGGAAGGCATCGTTGATAAAAGACGTTTCGCTTCGTACGGGAATCGAGAAAAAGTTACTCTCTGCAGGTGTGAAAATGCGCGAATGTGAGACGGAACAATTTGGAAGTGTCTTCTAATGTACCTTACAACATCGGAGATCGGCCATAGTCACAATTTAACACATGTATTTGTGAGAATTAATCTTAATTCATTATTATTAATTCACCATTTAATTATACATCTTATTATTATCAATACAATTTAACACACATTATGTCGTCATAGTTACCATTCGACATTAATATCAATTAATTATTATTAATTAAGATTAATTATGACGAATATTACGTATATTACGTTGGGATTATAGTCGATATCCACTGTTCTCCAAATGTTCACGATTTTCGACACGCCGAAAATTTGTCAGAATTTCCAAATAATGCTCGAAACGATCAAAGATCACCGATGGTTATATATATATTCGCGGAATGATTTAATGTACCTCAAAGCCATCGCTAGAAGATAGCCACACGCGTTGCAAAAGGCATGCTCTGCTCAACGCGTTCTCGTACGCGCTTCCCGATTAAGGGAGAAATAATGCGTTCTGATACGTTGATCCCAAAGAGAAGGAAAAGTTTATTTACCTCCGCCCCCGCGATTAACCTTACGCCGAGCGGAAAGCAACACGCTGGTTTTGCAATAGCGAGCGCAAGATTCAATCTCGCCAACGCGCTGCGGGTTTTGAAATTGCGGACATCGGCGCTACGTTTCCATTATATCGAAATAATGCAGCGATTTTTCGTCACATATAGTAGACAGGGAATGAGAAAGGAAGATTTCTGCGCTTCTCAACAAAATAGTGCGTACTCTACATGTTATTCGAAATGCCCCTCTGCCCGTTTTCATATCTCTCTCTATTTCTCCTCATCATGTTCAACAATTAATTCATTTTTATTTATTTAGCAATTTTATTCGATTAACAATTCATTAATTTTCATTCATATAGCTTTTATTTCAGACCCGATTTTTTGCCCGTTTTAACGAGAAATTCGATTCAAATAATACAAAGAGATGACAACTTGTAGAAATCGTTTATTCCGTCGTAAAATCTTTGCAATCTTAAATATATTAGTTTAGTACTTTCGAAATAACATGCTAGTTTTACGATATCCGCAGTCCGATACTGGCAATTATTCGGAAAAAGCGTTGCGTGTATATAGAACGCGAAAAAATACAGCGACAAATCGACGTGAGGATCTATGACGAGGTTCTTGCATGCTGCGATTTCACTTTCAACGGAACAAGCGAGCGTAACTCGAACAAATTGACATTACGCGATTCATGCCTGTCAATCAATTTGATATTTTCCGAAGAATATTCGCCGTTGAGTCGTCTATTTTTGTCCGTACGCGTGTCGCTTCCAAAGACAGCGACGTGTTTACGTTAAATCGAAATCGCTCTCTTCAAACTCCGACGCGAAATTCAGAATGGAGAAATCCGCGATTACGATTTTCAGACATTTCTCGCTCATCGCGCATTCATCTTACCTCCTTTTCCTATCTGCGCTCAGCGACAGGTAAAAGGTGAAACTTTCGCCCCGGTTGATGCGCTTCGCGAGCAAATGTCGCGACTAGACGCAGGTAGTACGTGCGTGCTGTGCGTCGTTCATCGATTTATGCAAAACACCATTGAAACCTCAAAACGCGACTGGCCAACCTCGATAAAAAGTAGAGCTCGCACAAAAGATTCGAAGGAATTGCGTGATCGAAATTGCTCGAGTAGGCACGTTCGAGGTAAAAGTATCCGTGCTTCAAGTTCAACATGGAACCGACGACTGATTTACTCGAACGAATCGCATTACACGGCAAAAAATATTTTGTGTCTGTGTTAAAATCGGCCCTTGTTAAAATGTTGATGTTAAATTTTTAATATAGTCGTGTGTTAATTTCACATGTTGTGTTTATGTTATCTTAATATTTTGTGTCGAGTCTATATTGAACATGTGTAAGTGTGAAAATGACACTTGTAAGTGTTAAAATAATACATTTTATATTTTAGTATCGATTAACATATTATGAATGTTAGTTTTGTGTAATTTTTGACGTAATATTTATATTACTTTTCAGCATATTCATCTTAGGTGCTTTCGAGGAGCGCGTTATTAGCGCTGATCAACACTAATGTGCTATTCTATCCTTGTCATGCACCTAATGAGCGGCAAAGGTAGAACGACTCATTAGCGCTGATAGCGTGCTTTCTGAACGCGGCCCTTGTGTTAAATTAACACAAAAATTTATATGAGCCGTTTGGGATATGTGAGATGTGTTAAGTTTAAACATACAATTTTTATCATGTACAGAGAAGCTTCAGAATCTGTGAGCATTTCCCAATGATACAACGCTACCTCACTTACATTAATTCCACGACTTTCGTCATCGAAAACCACAAGAAATACACAATAGTGTGTTTTTCTCTCTTGCAAAATACAAAATTACATCTTCAGAACGTACTCCCGATTGTTCTGTTAATTAAGCATTCAACTTATTCTCCGATATGTTCCTCGCAAGAAAGTAAAACGAACGGGTAAGAGTAACGTGAGAGTAACTCGGAGCATTATCCGTTGTATTCTTCGGAAGAAAAGTACACACACGAGCGGGGATCGTACATTTGGAAGATTCAATAGATGGGGCACTTTCGCTCGCGATTAGCCCGTGGGTCTCCGTAAATGGAAAACGATCCTCTCGATCGGCACGCGCATCCTCGCAGGAACACGCTCGGCGGCTGTAAAAACGAGGTAGCGTGACGCGGTGTGGACGGAACTATCTCGAGAAGGAGAAACAGCTCTCGCCGATTCCGATAATAATAAAAATCAGCTGTCCGACTCAGAACGCGTGAACGCGCGGTTGATACAGTGAACTAGAATCTGCGCTCTCAGGAGCCACTCGAGCGATTGGCTGCAGAGGCGAGCATATTGGAGGACCTTACATCCTTTCTCGCTCATCGGCTTCTTATGACTTGTGCAATATACTGTATGTGTACTTGATACTTCCTGCATGTGGCGATAGGCCGGCAGAATGAACCAGGGAATAAGCGAGGAAAACTTTCGCCGGCTATTAGTTACGTGTTTCGCGTTCCGCGAGCGAACGGCTGCTGTCACGCTCGGATGAAGTTTCCAGGCATCATCGAACCGATAGAAAAATAGTTCAACGGTACCCGATACCGCCGCTTACTGCCGTTTCGCGATTTCGATCGTGTACGAGCGACCCCGCATCGGGCGGGAAAGGGAAACGAGCGATTGTCGAGATGACAACGTGCCAAGAGACAAACGACATTGACCACAGTAATAACCACCCACGGCGACCCCGATTAAGTGCTTGTACTCGTAAAAACACATGTAATCTCTGCGAAAAATCCGAGAGGTATGAGAAAGCTATAATGAGCAACACATATGTAATTGAATCAACAAAATTCTTGTTTGGTTATAAGAACTCTGAAGATTCATTCAGAGAAGCAAATCTTTGGTTTGGACAATCGAATCTTACTTAAGAGAATCAAATTTTCGCTCTCAAACCAAAACACTTGCTCATATCCAAGCAAGCATTTTGTTTGAGTCAAATGATCGCTCGGTTTTAAAACCAGTTTTAAAATCGAACAAAACAGATGCTAATTTCGCTACACTTTCGCTCAGAAGTAAGGCGAAGTATATCTCCCGCATCTGTAGCTCGCGATTATTAAATTTCGCATCAATTAGTTTCGTCAGCGCCCTCCGATGGATCGACTTGTCCGAAGTTATTGGTCTTCCACGCCGATATATTTCTTAGATTAATTCAGAAATAGAACATCGAATATTGCGAAAGCGTGATCAGAAGAAACTACCGAGACATTTCTCTCTCGCTGAATTCGTAAAGACCACTCGAATTCCTTCTGTGCATCTACAACCCTCGCAGTTCTTGGCTTACTGAAAGAACTTATTTCCGAAACTTTTCAAATTTATTTTGCAAAAACTACAAATTATCCGTTACGAAGATTTTTACAGCGCGCATTCGTGTAACATCCATTTCTTCTCGTTCAATTTTTTCTTTAGAAAAATGTAAGGAGAACTTAAGACAGTTTGGAGATAAGCTCTTTTGCTCGCCCGGCGATCTCGCGCGAGGTACAAATTTCGCTGGTCGCTGATTTCGCTTGTCCGTCCGTTTTTCGTTTGCTGGCGACGGAACAGTTGAAAACTTTCGCTCCAGTTCGCGCTTCACGAGTGAACGGGATTTGTCGCGGTCGACTGGCGAGAGTGTACACATCGCGCTACGGTGGCAGAACGATGACGGCAACGAGCGCTGTATCCGGATCGAGAATCGATCTCGCGAAACTACCACCGTCGTCGGAAGCAGCTCGCGCTCGGGGATCCTCTAGTGGAAAGCCGCAATCGGGCCAAGATAGGTCCTTCCCTCACTGACCTTGCTGAACCGCTTGCTGACGGAAGTTGCACGGCGCGGCACAGGGCTCCGCACCGGAAACCCAAGGTCTCGCGTGCACTCTTCGAGGACACTGCGCGAGAACACTCTGCGACCGAGTGAACTGCCCGGCACCTCTGCACGAGGTAATAAAAGCGAACGACACCTTCGGTACGGAGAGCTTCGACGGTGAACGAAATCTCCTCCGGGATTCCACTCTCTCCCTCTCTCTCTTTCGCCGTCCACCAGGTGGGCACGCCGCGAAACTTTCGCCCAGTTTCGCGTTTCACGAGTGACTGGCCGATCACGGTT